GCCACAGTAATGACACTTGGCATTTTTCTTACTCCTGAATTTTGATCTACTCTGATTATGACTCCCACTGGAGCCACGTTCCGTTGATCTCCCTCTCATCATCGTCAAAGCTTCTGCCTGATGCGAACTTGTCAATCTGTCCTCCTTGTTCTTGCGCCTACTTTCCTCTTCAAGAACAGCAGCTGCAATATCATCGAAGACTAGAGTTTCAAGGTTGTTGGTTAAGTTGATGATGAGTTGATCATACGAATCTGGTAGACTTTGAAGTAAGATTTCAGCACGTTCACCAGTCTCTATATTATGCTCCATTGATGTGAGTTGTGAAAATAGAGTATTGAGGGTGTTGATGTGGTCTGTCACCGTAGTTGACTCCATCATCCTAAAGGTGTAAAGTTTTCTCTTTAAGAAGATTTTGTTGTGTAACGACTTGGCCTCGTACAGCTTTGTCAGCATATCCCATATCTCTTTGGCCGTCTTTTTCTCTGCCACACTTGACAATACTCCATCGGCTAGTGCAAGGTGCAGATTAGCAACTGCGTTGCTATCCATCTCATTCCACTTAGTATCGTCAATAATTTCCATAGGCCTTTGTCCAATTGCCGCCAAGCAGTTATCTTTTCTCAAAACTGCTTTTATTCTCATTTTCCATAATGAGAAATTGTTCCCATTGAACTTTTCAATCTCATATTTTCTCGCCATTTTTCACCAATACTATGATTGAACAACGACCCTACACAGAACCAAGCTCTGATACCACTTGATAGAAATAACGTGGGTCAACTTTGGCTTTACAACAAAAAGGAATTGAGAAACCGCAGCTGAAAATGAACACAAGTATTTACGTGGTTCACCCAATTTAGGCTACGTCCACGGACAAGTATAGGAGGATTTCACTATAGTAGGAGAATTACAACACTCTCTAAATACAAGGAGATAACAACAATTACTCTCTCGTAATATGAGAATACAAGGAAGTAATACTTAGGAGAAACTAATATTTTTTTTTCTCTCTACTCCCAATCTTCTCTCTACTCTCTAATTCCTCTCAAGTTGCTTGCATTCTCTCTCCCCACATCTACCTCTATTTATAGAAATTGTTAACCTCCTTAATGGAAGTATTTACATGAAAATAAGAAGAATTTCAATAGAAATTTTCTTCTTAAATAGTCAAATATGGTGGCTAGGAGAGTTTCACTTCAATTTTGCCACTTCCAAATTGTGATTGGTGGAAAGGAATTCAAATTCAAGTTGGTCACTTGCAACTTGAAAACTTCTTCATGAAGTTTCATCAATAATTATTGGAGTCAACAATTGTGGCTTTAATATTCAACAATGTAGTGTGTGAAAACAATTTACTTAGCTTCCACAGGACATCTGCCTACCAACATAAATGTTGTTTTCTAGCTGTCGTGAGGATTCAAACCTTCCATGCCCTGTAAAGAATCATCTGGCTTAACCACTGTGCCATGCTCGTGGGGGCCAAACAGGGGCTTACTTTGTACTTGTTGTAGTTGTGAATGCACAATGTTATGCTGGTAGTTACATAAGGAACTCATTTGATTAACTAGAGAATATCAAACAACAAAGGGAATGTTTTAAGTATTCTTAACATAGTGTGAAAAAAGGAACTACAGCAATACATCGAACTGAAAACCTATCTTTTCAAATTTAACTTCCCATATATTGCAGCAACACAAGAAAGGCTGCTACAAGAATCATCCCTGTGAATGGTTTACTTACTATTCTACAGCCCTTAGATTTATCTGATCGTGATGCTGATGGTGGCAGTGCAGGGCATTCGAGTCCAAGCTTCCCTTCCCGGCACTCGCTAGAAAATAGACCCGGTGGATACTTCCCATAGAGGTTAATGTAGCTGAACATGGTCGAGGCACAATCAGTTGATAAATCGTTTACATCATCAACAAACGGACAAGCAAAATCTTTGAGAGCAGGACAACAGAGGTTGGGAAGGTAGAGTGGTCCCTTGCATTTGCTGGTGAGGATAGTGTAGTTCTGGAACTCAAAGTTAACTGGGCAAGCTGTGAAACGAACAGCAAAGGGAAAAATATTCAGTGAACATTTCTTTCAAAACCGAACTTTCAGATGATTAAGCAATTTTCTTAAGAAAACCCAAGAAATTAAAATCGTGTTTCCACATACATGTATGCACCAATTGGAATATCCACATATCAGATTCTCTAGTAGAATCAGTATACAACACTAAGCTATAGAATTTGATAAGTTTAGAGGCCCATTTGACATGACTTTTGAGAAGTCAAAAGAAGCTTTTGAAACCTAAAAGTTGCTTTTGGACACATGTTGTTAATCTTATAAAAGTACTTCTTTTAGTTAAAAGGGTTTATAGAGGGAGCTAACCCAATGTGGCTTCCTATAAAAGCTATTTTAAAAGAAGAAGCATTTTAAAAATAACTTTCCAAATATCAATCAAGATAGCTTCTTCAAGAAACTTCTACAAGAAACAAAAGTAGAAGCCCTGACAATAAAAAATCAGAACGTTAAAATATCCAAATACTGCTAGGCTGCATCAAACTATCCTAATATAGTAAACAATTTTTCTAGGTTCAAGAAATCAAGATAAGAGGATGGAACAGACACTGTCTCAAATTCAACTATTGTTGGTCAATTGTTATTGTCTATTTGCTTATAGTTGTCTGAAGGAAAAGTTATTTGCATTTTAGGTAAATTACAAAGTTATGTATCCCCTTGTAGAGGATCTTCGTTCCGTCGAGGATCTTTATTCCATTTTACACGAAAAAATCTCTAACAAAACTACAAGAAAAACAAAAAGAATGCGAAAGAAACTATACTGGGAGTTTCGTGTCAAAATCTTACACTCTAGAATAGGTCCTCGACTAATTATACCATAAGCATCAAAGTGTTTTTAAGAAATCCAGAAAATACTCAAATTCATCATAATTAATATTTTCCGAAGCTACCTTAGGTTGGCTTTCGAGCAGACAAAGTCCTTTCAGAAAATTATGAAAAAATGCTCGAAAGCAATTTCTTATTCTCGGAAACAGCTCGACTTTTCAAAAGCATTACTAAACAAGCCCTCAGTCAAAATGAACTTATCAAGGATATTGTGAATGAAATTAACCCAAACATGAAGGTTTACCCCTAAAAACATGATTAAGCCCCTGTTTGGCCCCCGTTAAGCCCTTGTTTGAGCCTCAATTTTTCGAGAATGCATTTTTTTAAAACTCATTTTCAACCATACATTTCATAATGCATTTTATCCCAAAAATGGAAATCAAACAGTGGCTAAATTAAATTTCATTTTTCTCTTTCCTATTTTCAATCACACAATAAAATAATATTACACGTAAATGTAAAACTTTTCTTTCTTTTTTCAACCACTTATTTTTCAAAAAAATACTATTCCAATCATTTTAATTTGAAAAAAAGGGGGGCCAAAGGGGGGCTAAGATTGTTAGAAAAGAATTAGTTTATTAGGATCTTCATGGAAAACCAGTTTTAGATCAAACGCTCCCATTAAAAATAGTTCATAAAATCGAATCCAAGTTCATTAGTAATAAGACTTCTTGTCGGCAATACGCAGTAAGAAAACATAGTAAATTCATCGAAAATTTCTCTAGAGAAATTAAGAAATTATAACCACGAAGTTCAGATTTTGCCACAAAACATATAACCTCAAATCAAAAAGTTCTATGGAAGACAAAATTCATGATAAATTAGTGAAACAAAAAGAAAGAAATAAAGAAAAACATACACTTCTTAGCCTGAAGGAGGTTCCTTCCAGTTGAACTCGATGATCCAAAAACAGAATCTGTACCATTTACAATAACAAAAAAACAGTTAAAAAATCTATAATCACGCAGAGATTATAGATATTTATAAAGAGGGAGAAACCTGAAATGAAATTAGACGCAGAGAGGCTCCCGAAGAGGGGGAAAAACACAGCCAGAATCACACAACACTTGAAATTACAGAAACCCATAATTCTTCTGATCTAATCAATCAGATTTTATCTCTAAAAGCAATCCAATCACTAATATCTACAAAAATCGCGTACATAAACTCTCGCCGGAGTTCAGTCCTCTACTTTTCCAGTAGATCTATGTGTTTTCAACTTGGATTATTTTTCTAACTAAGCACATACCAAACCCACAAGAGTACAAAACAAATTCATGCTCGTATATCTATTTATGGATAGAAAATAAAATAGAAATGGAAATGGAAATATATGACCTGGATGTTAGGTTTTAATATATACATATATAGGTGTACGGCACAGACGGCGAAATCCAACTTCCGCGCAGAGAAAAGGATTTGGTCAAAAGTCAAAACGTATTTTGACCTTGTTTTTTTTTAGTAGTCTCACTTTTATTTAGGGGTTAGTAGCTGAATTTATGTTTGTTATAATTTTGCTCCTATTTCATTTAGGCCATGTTTGATAGAGATTAAATTTCATGGAAAATGATTTTCATTTTCCAACTTCCACTTTTTATAGTGTTTGATAGATTTTATTTTCCATGGAAATTAAATTCTTGATTTTTTTGGGACTTGTTTTTTTCTAGCTTTTGTGGGAAAATCAATTCCCAATAGTTTTTTTTTTTTTTTTTTTTTTTTGTAATGGAAATAAATTTTAAGAATTATTGTAAAAAAGTATTTCCCTTTAATCGACAATTTTTATGTAAAATAAAGTCATACGAACACCAAAAGATAGATGATTGTCTTGCATTATTATTATTATTTTGGTTTTGGCAATGAAAACAAATTTTATCTCCAATACAGTAAATTTCACTCCTTTAATTGACAATTTTCATATAAAACAAAACAAAACGAACACAAAAAATACTTTTATTTCAAGAAATTTCACGTAGAAAATTATACCAATTAACACAATAATTTACAATTCTCACGAAAACAATTTCCAGGTAATTCAATTCTCTGGAATTCATTTTCTTTCCATCCAAATTCTATCTTTGCAATCAAACGGACCCTTAGATAAAAATCAAATTCTATATAGATCTCAATAAAAAAGTTAGATAATATTTGGCATGGATTAAATTTAGATTTCTTGATGGAATATTATAGAAATTTTTAAAATGCGTAGTTGAAAAATTGTGGAACTCATTAAAAAAGTGATTAATATTGATTATTTAATTTTGATTTAGATTAAAATCAGATTTTAATCATAATCAAATATGGGCTTAATAAAATATATAGTTGAAAAGCGAGAATCTCATAAAATGTTTTATTAAAATTAATTCTTTCATTAAAGTTTTTGCTCGTAAAAAATTGCTAATATATCAAACAAGCTCTAGGTCACATGAGATTGACTCGTTTTTGTCCAGTTATAAACGTAAAAGGAAGTCAAGTTAAATAATAATAATAATAATAATAATAATAATAATAATAATAATAATAATAATAAATTGTAAACAAATTAAAATAAATTGAAGTTAGACAATTTTTTAAGAAATTAAGAAAGGTTTGAAATACCATTGTTGCGATGCACTTGTAGTTGTAGGGGACCATATGTGTTATAATTACTGATGTGATCATTCTTCCCATCATTGAATTTGATAAGCAATCAAAAATCTTTAATTTACGTCCAAACTGTTTAAATATATTACCTGTACTCCTATCTAAATCTTAATACATCTCAGTAAAGATTTTAACAGATTTAGACAATTAGTTTAGCTTAAGTTAATTGGTGATTATGTCAATTCCCCTTAAAAGCATTCTGAGCAGCCCATCTAGACCTTGTGGATATTGGGCTTCGACAGCTAGGCCCAACATAACAATTTTACCCAGGCCCGCAATAACCCTATTTTGAGGCCCTTTATGAAATAATTGGCGGGCCTGATCTGATTCCAATTTCATTACGTGAACAAATGTTTCAAGATGAAGGCTTATTCTACCATGCTTCATGTTCCAGCTTCCCTGTATCACCTCAAAAACTCTCATTTTCACATAAGCTATTTGGTTTTAACCCATATCAGAATGTAAAAACAAGTAATTCTCAGCTCGATCTTGCCATTATCAAACCCTTAAGTGAGCCAATAAAGGCGTATAGTATCACGATCAATGTAATAAAACTATATACTCGAAGAATTATCGACTTCTTTGTCAGAGGTCCAATATTTTTCTGCACCAAGTACATTTCCACCGGGAAATATACAGCAATAGGCCAGAAGTTAATTGTTCCAGCCACCCCGACTACTTGGTTAAAGTACGGGAAAAGTATGCCAAATCCTGTCGTGAATGCAACATAACAAGTTCGGAAACACAGCCTCAAAAGATTTAGTCTCAAACGCGGTATTGGTTTCAAAATGTAATCTTCATGCAATATTTTTCGGTCGGGAAACTTCTTTACAATCCATCTTTCAGTATTTGCAAAGAGTGGTTGTGTGTATACCTGTTGATACATATTTGGAAGAGAGGTTAGAAGTATTACTCAAGAAAAATTATGCATGTTTGGCTAAGCTCAAAAGTAACTTTCCAGTTACCTTTTACCGGCACAAAAGCTTATACAGAAACTACTATTTTTTTTCACTCTTAATCTTAGCCAAACATGCTCATAATACTAACCAGAAGAAGAAAAGGTGGTAACATTGTTGAGTGATAATTGCATGCAAGATCACCAAAAAATCGAATACCTGATATCCTCCAACAAGATGAAGAACAATGCAAGCATTAGCGAAGTCGACAAGCCAGTATGGCTCGTAAAAACCAAACCCGGTCAAAAGGTTCCCAGGGGTTGAATTCCCAAAAGCTGCATACCCAAGCCCTCCACAACATAGGTAGAAGAAGGTTGTGATGCCAACAGCCATAATTGATGCATTCTTCATGATGACCCTTTCAAGTGGATTCGACTTTAGAGTATCCTTCACGTATTATGAAATAAAACCATTTATTACTATTGCTTCACGTTGCTTGAGAATTGGCACAGAAGTAAATTTCCAGACCTGTATCTCTAGGAAAACAAGAGAAAACTGGAACCCAAAGGCAATGTCGCCAAGCGCTTGTGAAATTGTCCATACTTTTTCGGCAGTAGTGGAAGTTGGTACTCCTCCAATGCTACCTTTTATATCTCCATTTTCTATAAAATAAGCTTAAGCGATCAGAAAAACTTGAAGAATTTTGCACTTCATAAAAAATTCTAGCCGTGTTTTTTCATATTCCGGACTCACCTATAACTTTTCCCAAGCCAAGTGCCGATCCGATAATAGAGTATGAGAAGGACATGATTGCTGCAATGACAGAGAGCCACTCGGTATTCTGAAAATCAGGTATTTGAGACACGATGGCTTGAATAATTCCAAATGCAAGCATGTAATAAGTAATCCCGTAGTTGCAAGAAGCTTTATGCCCTTCACTATGGTAACAATTTGATCTCTGTATTGCCCTGCATCAATTGAAAGAATAACATCGAAGAGCAATAAATGTTAGCATGTCCAAAAGCACAATTAATGACAACACTGGTGCAAAACACATTAAGACAGACGTGACATTTTAAGCAAAATAAAAGGTCACGGGTATGAAAAATGGGTATTTTTCTTATTCTTTATGGACAATGAGAAACACTCCCTCTCTCTCATGAGGATGATACTTGCTTGGGCGTCGGAGGGGGAATGGAGGAGAGTCCCAGCCCATTTTCCATGTCATTGGACAGACAAAGAAATTCACTTCTAGAAATATAAATTTTCGTCTATCATCATCACACTATCTTACTCTTCAATACAAAAGATTCTACTCATTTTGTTTATATAAAGAATAGAAACTCTGTATCAGTGCTATGCGCGACCTAAAATGAAATATTTGTAAATTACTCAAATCGTCTCATTGTCATTTTTGATCATTTTGTCATGCATAGATTGCTTGATGGACCTAGCTGTTTGATTGGTAAGATGTTAGTTAACAGTAAAACGAAACATATGTAGGCTTCAAATCTCGTTCTTGAATTTTATTGAGTTATTAATTTTTCGAGGGTGGGGTTTGTTGGGGTTGCGGAAGAGGATGGAAGGAGCTCATCAACATACCTCATGCTGATGGAGGATGTAATTGTATAGACAATACCTATCTTGATGAAATTTAGTTGTACGATAATGCCACACACCCAAGCATTCCTTTTTCCTGAGACAAAAGGGGGGGGTCAGATATACCATAATATTTACTCACCAAGGCCACAAATGAAAATTTAGTTCTAACAGATTCTGTCTTTTAGACTTTAGTGGCAATAGACTGTTAAATAAGAAACAAGATGTACAAAACACAATTTTGTCTCGACTTCATAGAACCCTGGGTTACCTCTATTGAGTTCATTATCTCTTACAGCATTCAAGCAAGAGTATATTTCCATGTGGATTCCTAAGCCACTAGTTTATAACTCATTCAGACAAAATTATTAGTGCTCAGCATTTAAGTAAATGTTATCTTACCTAAAATTGCCCGAACAGCATCGAAGTAAGAGCCATTTCTCACAGGACCGTAGTCAGGATCAGGAGATTTGTAGCAATTCCAGATACATAATACAGAAGCAAGGGCGACTGATGAAAATGCCAACATGGTCAATGGACCTGCAATCCACCCGAGCTGTGACATGCTCCATGCTAATGAAAGTACTCCAGAACCTATTACTGCTGTTATTATATGTGCCAAAGCCGTCCACACATTCCCTGATTTTTCAAATGTTGGAACACGCGTTAAATAATACAAACAACAAACTAAGCCTTGTTCACAATATGTCTAAAATCAAACGAATCCCTTTTCTCCACTCTGTTTGTTCTTCCCATATTCAACAAAACAAAGCTCTGTTCCCAATATCTTTTTGGACAAAATTTATTTGAACGATAAAACTCCAAACATGGAAAGTTGGCCAAAGCCATCTGGCTTGCCAAACCAGAATAGTGTTTCCTTAAGTTAAAAGGAAAAAATTGGTATCATCCCGCCTTTAATGTGACATCAGAAATAAGGTAGGCTTTGGATATGTTGAAAAGTCAGGCATTCTTAAATACAACACACTTTTTATGAATTATATTTTGGGTGCTGCTACTCGTACAGAAGAGGATGACAGAATTAGGTGGAAAATAGAAAGAAAAGGAAAAATGATGGATAAAAATATAAACAAATGGTTGAAGAATCAAGAAAGAAACATTTAACTTGCACATTTTCATGCCTTTGATGAAAAAATAAATCCAATTTGCACATAAATAGCCACCTTTGAAACTACATTTAAATTAATAAAAGTGTTTCCATC